CCAGCCCCAAAATAAAGACAATGGAAGTGCCTGTCCAGCCGAGCGCCTACATATGCCATGTGCACGCACAGCTAGGTTAGCAATACGGGGCCTTTACTCCCTCTCCCTCTGAGCTGGGCATGCACCCTCCAGCGCAGGCCGGAAGCAGCCGCCCGCAGCCTTTCCATTTGCACTTTCTGCTTTTTTGTGTGATGCCCAAGTGCCTCCCCGTCAGTCACGGCGCCAGGTTCGTGGGAAGCGTTTTAATTCGCACTTTGGCCGAGGAAGGGGGCGTGGAATCCTGCTGGAACCAGTGACCACACGTCTGGGGATCCTGCACACGGTGAAGTGTGTCTCTTTATTAATGAAATACTAATTGTGCCTGTTCTAGGTTAGATCTACAACCGTTTCCCATAAATTAAGTATTTCTAAATTGTGTTCTGATTTGAAGCCTGGGGCAATAATGCAATGAACCTGTTTAAAGTCGCTGATACTGTAGAAAGTCCTGCTAGGAGGGAATGGGGGGCGTTTACATAATTCAATAAATAAAAGCGCTTTTATTTGCACCTGTTGTTTCTGGCCTCCCTTGGTTAGTGGCAACAGAGCCCCGCGGGGGGGGGGGGGAAGAGCGCATTTCTTTGCCTGGAGGGGGGCTCTGAACCATTTATTAAGGGAGAGGCTGGACAAGCTGTCCGCGGCGCATCAATAACCCAGCCCACCCCCCGTCTCCCACAGCCCTGGGCAGGCCTCCACTCCCAAGTAAGTTCAAATACTTCTAGCCCAGTGGGGGGGGGGCAGCCTGGGGTAGGACTGGATGTTATAGAAGCTGTTTTGGGGGTACAAAGGCCTCTTGGCGTTTATATAAACTGAGATGTGACTGACCCAGCCAGAGCCCACAGGCCCAGCCGCCATTGGCAGAGCGCATCATGCGGCAGGGAAGGGGAGGGCTCCCACGTGTGACCCGCCCTCATCCGACTCTGTCTGAGGCGCCAAACCAAGTCAGCGTCTTGCTTTCTCCTGCGGGGTGACGAGCCCAGAGGCCCTAGCGCACTTGCAGGGGGACAGCCAGACGTGCAGGCCAGACTTGCTGTACAGGCTGCAGCCTGGCTTAGGCCCAGATGCGCATCACGCAGCGAGGCGCATCCTTGCCTGGCTCCTGCTAGGCCGACTCAGGAGGCCATCTCTCGCCTCAGGCTAATTCCCTTCAGACGAGCGAGTTCTCCGTCTCCTCGCCTCACGACAGCACCGCCACAACCCCTGTGACTTTAACACGATTAAGACTCCAGCATGGCCACCACGTTAAGCCCTCCCTCGTTAAAGCAAATCCAATTATTTTTCAAAGGCATGAATCATTTAGGAAAGGTGTCTCCCACACGGCTGCTGCATAAACCACTCTGCTACAAAAGGCTTCCATGTAATGGATGGTCAGTGCGTTTTATTTCATCAGCACAGTACAAAAATAAATAAAAATAAGGGGAGGGGCTAAATTACAGGCACACTGAGCTTCATGACCGTCTGTCAGATTAGAAACCACACATACTTACCAACACACTGTACACATACATACAAAATGAGACAAGTATAAATTAATAAGGAACTATACCCACCAGTTTGGTCAAAGATCTACAGAAGAGATTGCACTAAAAAAAAACCAACATACAGATACATGTATAATCAGGCGTTTCAAATGTACATCTATGAAGAATTTCAAGTGAAAAAAATGGCACATTATTTTCTTCTTTTCATTTGCAATTTTAACAATGGTTGGAACAGAACTAAACTAAGAACTGTGCACAGTAAGAAGAATCTATCAATCCCCAGCTCTGAGGAGAAAATGCCAACTCAAATATTGAACTGTTTTTGTGTTTGTTTTTGTGAATGGGTGTAATTTTTACAGCCATCAGTTGTAAGATTGTTTCAGTTTGCTGAAGACACACAATGCTTCTGTTCGCATGCACAATATCACTGTCAAAGCAATGATGAAAGAATAAAGAAGGGGGTTTTGTAGGTTAGTTTTTTTTGTTCTAGACATTTTCCTTATAGCAGCATGTAAATTTCTTTCATTGCTTGCACACTCAAGTATATCGGTTGATCCTTAACACAATACTTATGATCAGTGCACAATGGGAACAATACATTTCACACTGATGTCATGATACAGTAGCATTTATTTCCCTTACTCCAGAACGCTCAGGAAACTGGAATCTCCTTTTTCAAAATAAATAAGGGGGAGGGGAATCTTTCCCAGACACAAAGCTGGAATTCAGTCAGTCCATGCCTCAAGAGACACACAGGGCCTGGCATTCCGCCCCCCTTAGGAACAAAGTGACGTCACATTGCCACAGTGACACCATCCATTTAGAACAGCAACTCTGCGTGGAAGGAGCAGAGACCAATATGGACCAAGAGCAAGAGACTGTATTTCTCCTCCCTTTCCCCTCCCACCTGGCACTAAGCAAGGGGCTGCGGATTTCTTTTCTGTCCAGCTCCGTGTCTGAAGAAGCAGTAGCTTGTGGTGGATGAATGGCTCAGATTTGGGCCTAGCAGTAGAGGCAATACAGGCTCTCCCTTCCATTTGCAAGTCCAGCAGCCTTCAGTGTTGCAAGACCAGCTCGTCTCAAGTCCAGACCTTTCGTTTCACAGCTTTCTGTTCCTCTACAGTTCAAAATGTGCTTGCTGCTAATTTGAGACGCAAGCACAATCTGTTCTAATCTCGTTAAATACAAAGTCGTCCACCCCCGTCCCCTCCCTGCTACCAGGATGCCAGCATCTTTAAACCTAGTGCTGGATTTGAAGCAGCCCTAGAGACTTCTAACCAGTCTGTATCTGCAGCCATATTACATGCAGTGAAACACTAGTCTTGGTTTTCCTCAACGTGTGGCACTAGACAAGCTACAAAGCCAGAGGATACGTCAACCCAGAAGTGAATTCGCTTTTCAGTGTTTGCATCTAGAGCCAGGGACTTCGGTCTTTTAAATGACTCAAACTCAAATCAGCAGGGTGCCACGGTAGAGAAATGCACTAGAGTCTCCTGTGCTCACCTGGGGATGAGATTTTTCCTTTCTGACATTTTAACACCCTCTTTCTCCCCCCGGTTTCAATAAACATGCTGCAGGCGCCCGCTAACACCGGAGCTTGGCCATGCCAGCGCTGCAGTAGGCCCCATCCCACGGACTGAGCAGGCAGACTGGGGAAACCAACTGGTGTTGCCATGAAACCCTGCGGTGCAAGCACATGGCTACAGGCTGCAGCTGAGAACCTACCACTGGGCTAGTATCCACGGCACTGTGACCCCATCAGAGTGGCTGGGGGAAATGCCCCGTTACTGCAGTCACAAAGCAATGGCCAAGCACCCACAGATGCAGTCTCACACCAGTCCCCACCTGCCCAGCTCACCTCCTGGGTGCTCTGGCTGGTGAGGCCGCTTTCCAGATTCGCCTTGGCCCACAAATGTGCAGGAGATTTCCATGCCTGAAGGAGCTGGTTGGCCGGCCCAAAGGCAGGACACCCTGAATCTGGGCATTTTGAGGAGCACCCCCGATGCAGGGACGAAGGCGTGTGCACCTCTCCTCCACGCACCGCCCAGCTCCTGTGGGCTACATGCAAAACGGCCAGTTTGGAGTCCAGACTGATTGGTTTGAAGGTTCATTTTCTTAGTTTTGTGCAGCACTGGCCCCCCCGGGAAACGCCATATGCTCAGGGCTCCACTGGATTATCCCATTTCCAGGCCCGGTCCTTTGAGAAGGCAAACCCCAGCGTTTCCTTCAAGTTGTTTCTTGAAGCCGCCTGCTCCCAAGCACAAAGCCTTTGGCGTGGACAACCCCCTGGGCAGGTACTGTCTGGGCAAAGGGACGGCCAGGCCCAGGGGGCGGCGGGAGCGATGCATCTCCAGGCAGTTACAGAAACCAAACAGAGACTGGCAAAAACAAGAGCGTCAAACCCACCCAAGGCTGCAGCGCTGCTGGGGGAGTTCCAAGGTCAGTGCTGCCAGCTGAGGCGCCACTGCCCCTTCCAAGGTCCACCCAACCTCCGCCATGCCGGGGCCCCGGTCCCAGCGGCGGGGGGTGCTCACCGGTCCAGCCCAATGAGGAGCCGGCTCTTCTCCTCGGGGCCACACTCGTTCTTCAGGTCGGCAAAGACCTGGGTGAAGTAGTGCGGGTCGGCGTTGATCTGCAGCATCTTGGGGCTCATGAGGTTGATGATGGAGAGGCAGCGGTCCCAGAAGGCCTCCTTGCAGCTCTCCACCAGGAAGGGCTTGAGCGGGTAGGAGATCTCGTTGCCCATGTAGGAGTAGGAGAGGTACAGGCAGGTGAGCAGGCCGGCCTGCAGGTCGTGGTCGCTGGCCACCTCGGCCGAGATGACGTCCCTGCACAGCATGTAGAGGAAGACCACGTTGGCCGGGGTGATGAAGCCCTGGTCCTGCCAGCCCTGCAGCAGCAGCGACCGGTCCACGCTGCGCAGCCACAGCACCGGCTCCGCGGGG